AGCTTGAGTGCCCTAAGGTCCCCGTGCATCTCGGCTGCAGAAGCCAATCTTTTGGCATGTGGGTGGCGGCGGGATTCCAGCAGCTTTATCCCTAGATCAAGCCATGCCGGAGTACTTCAGCTTTGACAGGTCACATAGTCTGGCTTAGAAGTTGATGTTGTTTGGGGGGGGGGGCAGGGGATCGAAGGCTGGACCCTTGAAGGCTTGCTGTGGCCAACCATTGGCACTTTCGGGCATGAGGCGTCGATTGGGTTTACAGGCAAAGGAGCTGGTGTTTGTCGCTGAGCTTCTACATTTCTACACAGGTGCGCGAGCAGGGGTCTGAGAACCAGCGAATTCGTATCAAGCCGGACGGGCTGTTTTGCTTTCATGCGCATGGGGGTTGTTTCATGTGCAAAGTAGACAGTTGACTGGACTTCTTGGCAAAACCGTCCAGGGCGGGAAAAGACAAGCCCCCGGGTCATGAATTGCTCTGTGGCAACTGCGCAGCTGGCAGACTAGCTCCGTGTAGCTCAGGAAAAGGACAAATCGGAGAAGTAAACCCCAATCTTCAAACCCTAAATTCAGAAGGCCTGGTTCAAACAATCCTGACGTTTGCAAACCACCCTTCGCGACCACTGCAAAGGAGACCGGCGATGTCATGACAGCCTTCACAGTTCTACGAGTGATGCCCCTCGTCATGACACACTTATTCGTAATGCTGGAAACGAAAGTGAAACGAGTCCTCCAATGGCTATAGTGCCAGGGAGGTGAGGTTCTTTTATGTTCTTTTCATTGTTGAGTACGATTGTATGCTGCCGCCCGAAATCATCCTTGCACGTGTATATGGCTTCGAGCCTCGCGATGGTTTGCACCGGAAAGTGGGGAACCCCGCAGCTGTTTCCCAAAATTCGACAATCGCAGAAACCTTGAGCGCCTAAACTTGATCTGCCATAATTTGTTCTCGTGGATTATCCTAGCGTCCGAAGCTTACGGACAGTGCTGGAAGGGCGCGATGTCAGACCACCACAACACACACGCGGTGACGCTCTGGGCCGAGCTTTTCTTACGATGCCCGCTTGACGCAAAAATCCGAACACCAGGACAATGACCCTGCACCCTAGACCTCCAAAGCCCCTATTATCACCCAAACAAGCCTACCTTCTTAAGGTCCTAGCAATTTCGAATTTCGGGTGTCTAAGCCTTGCGATAAGGACACCCCAAGAGGGACCCGAGTTTAAAGAGCCCTCGCATGTGGTATGCTATGTGTGTGATGTATCTTGTCTGATGTGTGCACACTCAGGGGCAGGATGTTGTGGCCGAATAGGACCCAGAACCTTGCCTATCGAGGCGTCTAGAGATCATGAGACGGCAGTCTGTATCGTCTTTCGTCATTCCACGCAGGTCAGTAATCGTGCTTGCTTTTTGTACTTCTCTTGGAGCTTCCATCCAATGCCTTGAGCTCATGGCTGTGCAGGCGCCTCCTTCGGATCACACGGCTCATCCGAGCTGTGCGCTTCATGCCCATTTTCCGTGCCTGGGCTTCGCGGGAAGGGTACAACCCTACCCGAAGCTACCCTCGGTCCGTAACTCAATTCTAATTATCCAAACCCCAGGAGGGCTCAAACCGAAAAGTGAGCTCGTGTAAGTCAAGGGTTGTTGCTGAAGATTGGGACATCGTCCGAGCAGCAAGAGCCCATGGTTTGTTGGGGGTTCCGCGAGTTACGATACCACGCCCAGGACCCGGACCGTGGGGCTCGGGGTTGCGAACTGTCAGGTTTAGGGTGCCGGGCTACAGCAAGGCACAAAACCCTGCATCTATGATTTTGCTGAAATGAAATCTGTTCCAACACTACCTGATACCGCGAAGACCTCCCCTCAGATCCCTGAACACTGAAAGACGACGCCTTAGGGCCGCCAAAACCCCAATACCCGCAAAGCACTAAACATCCTTCAGACTTTGAAGGAAAGCTACTGAACACCTCATCCGGCCTTCGGATGCCGGAGTACAGCAATTCGAATCTAGCTTCAGAGCCCCAGAAGTAAAGTGAATTCCGAGGTTTTTGGGTTTTTTCCTGTCTAGGGTTTCGAAGTCATTGAGGTTGAGTAAGGCTTCAAGCTCGGAGGGGGCCGGGGGGTTGAACGGATCACATCAAGGTGAGAGCACAAGCGTGCTGCGCGCCCATCATGCTCATGCCGATGCTATGGTGCACTGTCTTGCAGCCACTGTGGCGATAATTATGCTGGCGGTCGCAGCGTAAATGACGATGAGCGTCGGACCATGGTGAGGCGAGGCCAATGACGAGGATGGGCGTGCTGATGGCGAGACTCCTCTAATGGAAGCCATGATTGCATCCTCGGTGCCCGAGGCGAACTTCGGGTCATGGTGCGATCCATTCTGACACTTGCCACGCAAGTGGCTGGGTTTTCAGGCTGAGGCACCCATCTCAGGCTTCCCGGATCTGTTTAGCTGGAGGTTTTTCGCGGAATCTGATGCCACAGCTTGGTGAAGCTCGCTGAGTTAAAGGGACTCGGTTCGGCGCTCTGAAAGGGCCATTGTGACCTGTCATGGCCTCGCACCCGAAGATCTCACGTTTGACCAAGCAGAACTGAGGAACTGCCTGATGCCTCTGATTTGGTGCATTGTGCAGCTTTGCCGCATGCGAGCCAGTCTTAATCGTCTGACGGCTACGGTGAAGCTTTGTTGACCTAAAGTGGCTTGGTGTGTCCACAGGGGTCACGATTGAAGACATATATGGTTTAGCTTTTCTACGCGTGCTTCTGCTGCAGCATAGGGTTAAGGACAAGAACGCCGCATGCCGAGCCCTGCGCTAGAATGTATCTTAGTACATGAGCACCCGACCCAAGTTGAATCAAACGGAGTCTTGTCTGTTTTTGCTTTGATAAGACGATAACGTGGAAAAACTCCGACCAAGTTGATGTCCAGAAAATGGTGGGAATGGTCCAAGAGGTAGTTGTCCTGCTGTGAGAGGTTGCTTGGCTTCTTCCAGTGGTGCTTTGCGGTGTATTTCATCACGGTCAGCTCCGACCATGTGCAGGCAAAACCATTGCTTTGCGAGAGACAGGGCTTTCCAATCTCTACCATTAAAAGTTCGGCTCGAGTGGCTTCCTCCCGATTTTGCCGATGGGTCCCACACCGCCACCGCCAGAGCTCGGTAGCACTCGCGAGGTTGCTTTCAAAGCATTCTTTCACACTTTGGCCCTAAAACTAAATCCCGAGCTCGGAACCTCATTGCCATGCCTGCCTTGTGCGAGTGTGTGAGTCGAAATCCCGAGATCCTAAACCTAAGCTTGACGAACGCAGGGTGGAAACTCGACTTTTCGGATCTCGCGAGACGGAAAAAGGGTCGTGCAAAAGAAAACCTAAGCTTGATTGTGTGTGATTCTGGTGCCTTACTTGGAGCTGTCTCTGACGGGAGGCCATGCACCACTTCCCAGACAGATACAGCCACCTCGACACGACTCGGAGTCTTTGCGGGCATGGATGTAGGGGCCTGTAGATGACTAGCATTGGAAGTCTTGTATTAGCTGTAGAGCGCTTACATTCTACGGAGATTGGCAGATCTGTCTATCGATCTATCTGTCTGTCTGTCTGTCTATCTGTCGATCTGTCATCTGTCTGTCTGTCTATCTTATCTATCCATCTCTATCTTCTATATCTCTGATTTTGATATGCAGCTGAACTCTTTCAAAGCATCATGCAGGGTGTCAGGTTGGCTTCGGTTTCAGGAGTCTCGTCTCAACATGGCAGTCCAGCGAATGTTAAGTCCTTCTTGTGCTCAGTGTCAAGGTCCATGAGCCTTTGGCGACGCGCTGCCTGTCATTTTCAACACGAGCCTTTCCAGTCCGAGGTTCCCTGAGCCCTAGAACGCAGACGCTGACTGCTAAAGCGCAACAGCCGAAACCCCAACAGCACAAGTGCCTCGCAAGGCCTGGTGGGGTGTAGCATACAGGGCTGGGTTTAGTGAGGGTTAAGTAGCTTAGTACCTGGGGCGAGGGGGGGTCGGAATAAATAGGAATGGTATGACCTTGTAGTCAATTCCCACATGACTATAGTTTAGTATGCCCCGAAACCCTTATTCTACCTCCAAACCATAGAGCCCGAAGATACACAAGGCTTAACCTGCATAAGTCCCCGAAGCCCGGTAGAAGGTCTGGGACTCAGGGTCTACATAACTTGCCAGGGCATTCGGAAGGTTTAAGGAACTAGGATTTGCATCTCGGCTTTGTATGCTCGTAGGGGTCGCTGTCGGGGGCAGAGCCCAGCGCGCTGAGGATCAAAGACCAGATCAAGGCTATGCCGCTTGGATGCCACTTTGAACTCCTTTCTTGGTTTGGCGAATCAAGGCAGTTGTTTGGTTTGAGATCTTAGAGATGGGGCCTTCGGGGAAGCTTGGAGCCTGCAGGTCGCATGCCTAGTCTACTGAGCACAGCAAGATCCAGGAAGGAACCTTGAAACCCATGATTGACTGGAGCATTTAGCGGGATAGGGCATGAGGTTGTATAGGTCGTGGAGGACTGATAGATTTTACACTCACATCCGAGCCCCAGGTTGTGAGAATCATGCGGACAACCGTCAACATTCCAAGTGAGCTGTGAACTGGGTGAGAAAGCCCAGCCAGCAGCTCCTACATCTGCTTGACAGCCCGTAGGCCCTTTCCTTAAGACTCCGAGCCCGTCAAAATCTTCATCCTGATCCTAGGTTTGGTTCCCTCTGGAGGACCAACTACGCAACTTCTCTCCCCATAAGGGTGTTTTCGAAAATTCTGTTCAGGGTTTGTGGTCTGTGTGCGATAGACTGTGTGTAGCTTAGGGTTCCTGGGCCGGGTCACACATTCAATCGCCTTCAGGAAGATTCGTCTGGCCCGCTCATTTAAACCCCGAAGCCTGAACCCCCTTTTGGGGGAGCTCCAGCAGCCCGGGCGCAAAAGCAGAGAGGTCTTTATGGCTTAGAGGGATCTTGAGGATGTGGGGGTTTAATGAGAGGCGGGACTGCAAGAATGCAGGACATACAATCTTACTTGATTGTCTTTGGAAAGGAAGTTGCCAACATTTTCAGATGGTCGCCCTGGGCCTCCAAGGAGGCCCACAGACCCGAACTCTGCCCAAAGACACACCATCAGCCTTCAGTGAGAGCCTGGGCACTTCCGAAAGTGAGAGCTCAAACCCTGACTAGCTGGTTTATAACACAGAATCAGGCGCGAACCCGTGCGAACGCTGCTCGACCCCACCTTGTCTTTGCGTCTGACGAAGCCTTCAGCCCCCAAAGCCCCGACTCCGCACTCGGCCCCGAAGAACAAAGTCCTGAAGGTTCTTTTCATGTCTGTCAGCGGGGGCTTGGATTGGGGCTACGCAAGCGACATCTTTATCGAGCTCGAGAGTTATTACGTGGCCCGGCTCGCTGAACCGACTCAGCCGAAGCCCTGAACTCTATACATGCCTAAAGCCTGCAAATCTGATGAACCCTGAAAACAACCCCTATGAGTTTACTTGTGTCTTGTTGCCACCCTGCTTGGCGAAACGCCCAGCAATGCAGGAGGCAAAAAAGCCTATAAGCCTGTAGAGCCTCATAAACCTACACACCCTAGACCTCCCTTAACTTCAAAAGCTCTTAAGCCCCTGAGCCCTATGCGGCCCTGGGGTTTTAGGGGCGTGGAGGCTGTGGGTTCGCCTTGCTTGGGCCGAAGAGTTCCTTCACCTTGGCGGGAAATTCGGCCTTGAGCCTTATAAGGGGCCCTCCTAGGTTTTAGGGTTTAAGGTTTAGGGTTTAGGGTTTAGGGTTTTAGCGTTGGGTGCACTTTTTCATTATTTTGTGTTTTGGGATTAGGAGCAAAGCTGCTGGGGAAAGGGTTTTGGGCTTTGGGGATTACATTGTTTCAGGGGTGTCGGGGCTAAAAGTTTGGGTGGAGGGAAGAGGCTGACGGGACTCGTGGGCTAAACCGAAGAGGAGACTTCCGAGCTTCTGAGACCTGAGGCAGCCCAACCACTTACTGTGCTGCTCGCAGTAGGGATGTGGGGCTTTGGGCTTGGGATGCGGGCGGATGCTGTGCGCCATGCGTTCTGCCCGCCCCCNNCCCCCCCCCCCCCCCCCCGCCCGGGTATATATTCTCCCCCCCCAATACAAGGACCTGGAGCCTCAAGCCTAAGACGAAGGGCATGTGCGGAGGAGGAGGGGGTCACGTTCCACAGCAAAGAGGCAGACTAAGCTCCGAAGCTCAAGGCCCAAGCCGTTCCATGAGAATGGGGAGAGGGCATGATCACCCCCCAACATCGCTGGGGGAAGGCCTAAACAAAAAAACCAACGTTTTCACAAGAAACACAAAAGATGTAAAAGCCCCTGCACTTCAGCGGGACTCTGGCGAGAGCAGGAAACGGACCAGAGGCCGCCAGTCGAAAAACGATGCCATGACCCGTGCAGTGACGCCTCGAGCGCACTTCCGCCTTTGAGGACCAGACTAGTGCTCAGCGCGCGCGGCCGCTGCGGCCTTCGCGGACACGCTGGGACATGCGCGCAAATGCAATAGCATCAATTGCAGCAGCTTCCGATAGCACAGCCAGGCGGAAGCTGCCTCGGGGTCCCACGAGTGCCCGGGACGCTGGCGGGCGCACCGTAGTTTACTTCGCAGATAACGGTCGCGACTGCAGCAAGTTACTTCGGGTCCATAGTATAGTTATCGTATGTTTTGCTATAACCCCCAGCTCTAATGATAAAGGCTTCCATATTTATCCTATATTGGCCAAAACCATGGATACATCGGGGTGAGGGCCGTGCGCCGACTCAGCCTTTCCTAAATGCCAGAACCAGATTGTAACTGACTGGAGAAAAGCTTCAAACTCGAGCCCGGGATACAAACCCGATCTCGAACCCTTAGCCTTAACCCGCGCAGCCACCCGAGGCAGCTGCGGGGTATCTTTTCTTCATTGCGCTGGTGGCCCTGGCCGTCTTAAACGTCGTGACCGCTGCAATCCGGCCCGTGAAGCTTCAGGGATACGGGCCTACCCCAATTGCCTTGTTGGCAAGTTCAATTTTCAGCATCATTGCCTAGGGAAAGTGAAAGCATGCGCGATATCTACGCACCAGGATGGCTTACTTCCGGGTTCCCATGCACACGCAAGCCCAGAATAACTGAGTGGTGACTTACCTGCCGTGTCTACACTCGTCATCTTTGAGGTATTCGTGGAATATGCCATGAAAATGGCAGCAGATGACCGCGATCTTGCCTGGATCTTGATTGCCCGTGTTGCAATTCTGGGTTCAGTGGGGTTGACTTTTCAGCAGAGTCCTATAGGAGCTGTCCGACGCCTTGGGATACGGGGTCGCCACAGAGAGAGAGAGAGAGAGACAGAGAAAACTAAAACGATTTGGCTCAACATCTTTCGAGTCTCAATGCCCACTCAAGGTCCTCGAGGTCCGATCAAATCGTGGTGCAGCCATGGCAAGCAACAATTCGCGACCCATGCAGCGGGCGCAAACGGCAGTGGAGCAGCCGTCGCTGAGGACAAACAGCAAGGAGGCCAAGGCCACCAACAATTATGGGGCCATTGTGGAGATATGGAATTGCTGCACGGCAGCGAACAAAAACAGCCACGGCAAGGAAAACATAGCTTCTGCGGGGGCAATACCACCAAGGATGGAGCAGAAAGAAAGGCAGACCACCTGCCTCAAACAGGTCCCGGAAAAAAATGAATCAGCCGGGCCGGTAGCTGCACTTTTGACACAGCCCGGTCTTGACAAAAGATCTGGGCCCGATTGGCCTATGGCCGCGCGGACCGGACTTGCGCAGTTGTGGAGAGAGAGAGAGAGAGAGAGAGAGAGAGAGAGAGAGGATGAGCGCGGTCCCTTCTCCCAAGGTCATCCAAGACACCCTGGCCAAGCGCAACAAGTACATGCAGGAGTCTGGAAGCTACTCCAGAGAATTGCTTCTACCAACCAGGGCATAGGTTTTCTTGAGCTTCTTTGTTGCCACGCTCTCTGCTGAGCCCCTCCCTAGAGCGTATAAAGAGTCTCAGAACCCTTGCATCCTGAAGCTCTGCAACCGCTAAATTCATTTGCAGTCCGAAGCCAAGTCCTAGGCGTATGAAGCCTACAACCTGCATCATGAGTCAACCATGTCAACCCAGTCAAGACTTACTGCTATGAACTCCCCGTCTAAACTTCATACCCTGCTGCTTACAACGCACCCTTATTGCACCCACACCAAACCGGCTGAAACAATACAACCCTTCCAAAGTCCTGGACCAGTTACAAGTCAACGCATGTCATGGATATCTGCTGCAGCCACAAAGCCTGAGCCCCCAAGGCTCAACCTACACAAGAACCCTAGAGCAGCCTGGAGGATGCCATGTTGGTCTTCAAGGAAGCCGATGCCGATGGTTCCGGCTCCATCACTTACAAGGCCACGCTTCATGTCAAGGGTTGACACTTTCCGAGGTGCAAAGTGATGGGTTGAGGGGTGATCATATGTGACGTGTGCGGTTTACAGGGTTCAAGGTCTACGTATGTCTAGTCAAGATTTCTCGATCATTTCTGAGCCCCGAGCTTTCAAGGCACTGGGGCCCGGGACTTGCTCCAAAGCTTATAGGGTTTCACCTACTACAAAGCACTGATGATCCACAACCCCCTCCCCCCGCAACAAATTCCTATGTAGGGACGTGGCTTATTGATTAGGGCTCTACATGCACCCTGAAGCATGAACCCTGTTTCCAAGCGTGCACCTCGATCCTGGGAGCAGCAAGCAGTCTATAAACCCGGAAGATCCCCAAATCCTGCAGCTCCTCATTGCCGGGGCTGACTAATGCTCGTTCTGTTTCAATATACATTTTCGAAGATTCTCCCCCACATAGAAGCCCCAAGGCTGAGCAGTATGCCTGTGTCACTGAAGTCGAAAGACCAACCGATTCAGAGAGCATCACGCAGAACATCAAGCCCTTCCTGAAAGAGCTACCGAAAGTCGTGCAAGAGCTGGATGGAAGCATCTAGTCATAGGTGGCAATCCGTATAGCTCCTGTACATACAGTACAGTATGCCGTAAAACCTTATTCTAGTAATTAAAACCCCCGTTTACCGAAACCCGTCCCTCGAAGGAAAGCTTAAATGGCTACTGACGGGCCAGGGCTACGCAAGATGAGATCCGGCTGTGAGAGTGTTTAGGGTTCAGAGCTATGTGGCGGAGGGGCCAAGTAAACCCCAGCACCTGCAAACATGAGGAGTTCCTTGACCACGTGGAGGATGAGCGAGTCCAGGCATTCCTGAACAGTGTCCAGGTGCCAATTTGATGTTGTAAACCAGCGTTTAAGGTTTGCGGTTCAGAATCAGGTTTTGGAAAGGCTTAGCCTTAGCGTGCGGTTCAAGGTTTGGCTTCCTGCAAGCTCAGAGCTCGTGCCCACCAGCCAATCAGCACGAGGATGGACCATTCCACGATGTGACGTTCTGAGTTTATCAGACAAAGTGCAGGTCAGTGTCACTCAGAGAAGGCTGGGCAATCAAGAGGTTCCCACCAAGGTACGAAGAAACATGCGCATTCTTGCACAATTCATACCGGAATATTTCAGAACACTAACAACAGCAGTCACAGTCAGCAAGTGGGAACAGGCGAAACTTTGCCGAATCTCCAGATGAGCCCGACTTTAGGCCTCCTTTGGCTTCAAAAGGCATGGCGGAATGCCTCAAGCTCCGGCACCCTGAGCTTTCAACTTCTGACAGCCAAGAGTCATACTCCAGCGAGCTTTCGCCCCTACACCGCAATCCTTGCTTCAGCTCCTCCGCCCACCCCTGGCCCGACCGAAGCCCTGCATCAGCAAAGGTATGGAGCTCGATGGGATCGAGGCAGCAGCAGCCCACCACCCTGAATACTAAAACTTGTAATTACAGCAATGTACAAATATGTTTTAATCTTTATGATAACGGTATTCATAGTCACACTACTGTTACTAGTAGTAACAGTAAAGCAATAATGAAGATGACAATGATAATGGTGAAAATAATGCTACCGGCTGCAGCCACTAAGTGGGCAGGAAGAGGATGACCACCATCATCAGGAGGATGAGCAGGAAGAGCGTTCCCCTGGCAGAATCTCTGACAATCAAAAAGGAACCATCGACGGGTGTGCGCGGAGGGAGTTTCGCGGAGCGAGACATGGCGGATCCGCAGTGGTCCATGAAGACTTCATCTCCGGACTGTGGGTCAGAAGTGTTGCGGATAAGTATTATAAGTCTTGAGAGTGCAATAATCTTTGCGGATTTCCGAATGCTTTGAAGAGCAGAAGCCTTAGAAGTCACGGCGGGTTGCAGATTCTCCAGACTGCACAGTGCTGGTTGCATATATGTTGGTAAGCTTGGGGTCACGTGATCCGCTTGCTGCGACTTCGCCGGTTGGTCGTTAAGGTGCTGAGAAATGACGAAGATGGCGATTGGTTACGTTGCACTGGATAGTGAAGGTGACACTGTGACACTACGAAAATCGCCTTGACGACTACGCAGAGGAAAGAGATGATCACGATGCTGGTGGCGTTTGTGTTTATGCTGGTGACGATGACACCGATAATGCTTGCTGCGGGCTTGATGTTGTAGATGGTGGTGATGCGCGTGCTGTCGTGATGGTGATCGCGAGACTGACTCCCCGGGTTGGCTGCAGGCAATTCGCTTGTTCAAGCTCCTCGACCTCGACGGCAGTGGCTCAGTCGAACCAGACGAGCCTCTCGGCATAGCGATTCAGACTAACTAACTGTTATTATTTTGTATTTATGCATGGCTAAGGATCTAGGACGCGATCTGCAATTGTGTGCTTTCGTCTTTCCGGTTAAGCTTCTCCAGAAGATCCATCGTAGAACGCCTTGCCGGTTACTTTGTTTGTTTGCGCTATAAGATCCTGGCCATATTACGGGTTAGACAGGAAATGAACTCCAATGGAGACTGGTAGGATTCCTCTAGAAGTTCTAGGGTTTTCAGCCTGTGATCCTCGCGCTTTCCGGCTTTCCGGGTTTTTTGTTTACATCGAACCCCAAACCCTCCAAAACCTTAGTTCCCGCAGTGCTTCAATGAGCTCTGGGCAGGTTCGTGCACGGCTGCATGTGCCTGAAGGGCATGGCAAAGACCATGGACCTCGCGATCTTGCTCCGCGAGCAGCGCAAGGCACCAGCACGACAACAGTTTAGGATTCATGGTTGAACTCGGTGAGGTCCTTCTCGGCTTCCGGTGCTCCAGCCACACATTGCAAGAACCTGTCCCCGAAACCGTCCTCTCCAAAATCCAGAGCCCAAAGTGAGATGCATCTTTGACCTTTATGCTCAACGCTGCAGCTGCCGCCGCATTCTTGAAGACAACGACGAAGCCTTCAGGTTTTGTGCAGTGCGGCCTGGAGGGATCTCGCGCGGGTGTGGCATGCGCAATATCAAAGTACAGTTGGCTCGCTATCGGCGGCTATAGAGCAGGCTTTACTGCGCGAAACCGTTGTACCAGGTCTGTAAACAGCATCGTCAGTCCACTCAATGCGACGTGTGTGTGGCTACGCCAGTTTTGGGCGCAGTTGCACGGTCGTTCTTCGGATTGAGCTTGTTGGTTAGGAGGATTCAGCTCCCCCCATCAGACCTCACTGCGAGGCCATGCAGACGTGGGGCAGCTTTATGAGCCGCTTTGCTGCACAGCACATGCGCGTGTATGTGTATGTATGCATTTGGGCATGTCTATGGCTCATGTATATGTACAGTATAGGCACAGGTACCTGGGGAACCTAGTTGCAGCCTACAGGGCCAAAGGTTGAAAGGTTTAGGTTTTGGGCGCAACTTAGAAATAGTTGTTGTTTTCCTCTTCCCTAAATTGTGTCAAAAGAAGACAAGGAGAGAGAGATAAGCGAAGATGAGAAAGATTATCCAATGGAAACCAACTTAGCTGACGAATCTAGGACGAATTCGCGAAGTCTTCAAGCAACACCCTTCGAAATCTTTTCACCAGTTCTGCTCGAGGTTGATCAAGTATCGTTGCAACGTATGCATGTGCACGATTTTGAATTGGCCGCATACAGACAGGCCTGCAATCTTCCCCACAAAGTCTTCGTCCTGTTGGCAACAGGACGACATTGGGCTCAGGATCCATGTGTTTTGAATTTCTCGGCCCATCTGGAATGCGAAGTGGCAAAATGCGTGATATTTTGGCGAAATTTTGAATCGAAGCACCTGTCGGCGAAAAGCATGACCTGCAGCCGACAGGTAGGACCTGCAAAATGTTGCCGAATGCCTGATGGCAGTCTCTGCTTCAGCTTTTGAAAGCCAAAGCCCACCTTTATACAAGCATCTCAGGAAATCACTGCCTGCCCGAACAGCAGTTTCAATGTCTCTCGTGTAGACCGTTGCATTGTGCTCATTGATGAAGCCAAAAACAGCCTCCAACCACATCATCACCACTGTTGTGTCATGGCCTTTGAACCAAGACCTGAATATTAAAAAATAAGAGAGAGACAGAGAGAGAGATGGAGAGAGAGCTGAGTGGATAGACGAAGGTACATTATGTATGACTGCAGTCTTCTACAAACGAAACAACGAAACTATTTCGGGCCAAATACAGTTAAGTACATCTATACAGCACCCAAAAAGCTTGTTACTTAATTAACCCGTCTACGATTTACTAAGTAAGTTGTATCTGAATCATGCTAAAAGGTTATACGGGAGCCGTACTAAGACTATGAATGTTTTATATCAAAGAATCGCAACATTTTGACGAACAGCTACCAAGCATCCCACAAGGAAACTCTCCTTCGTTCGGGTAGTGCAGCAGCTGCCGAGTGAATGAACTCATATGCAGGGATAACTTGTTTTGCTTGCAAAACATCTCCAGCCGGCCATACAAAGTTACAAGTTGTTCATTCCTGTCGCCCGGTCCAGCCAAGCCGAGGTCCATAAGTACAACCTGACACAAGTCTATTCGAAAGAAATTAAACCCCCGATCTATGCTACCTACTATTCATAAAAAGAATACTATTCATAAAAAGAATATTTTGGCGATAGTATATTTCCGAAGCCTGGCAAGCAACAATAGCTGATCCAGCGAGTTCTGCAAAGACCCCTTTGTGACATGTGTGAAAAAGGTCGTACTGGTACAGCACCTCTTTTGAATCGGCTTGGTGCAACGTCCATAATGGGCTCGGGTCGTTGGGATCGAAAGGGGGGTCTTTCAAGTAGGTTTCGCACCATTTGGCTTGTTGTGTATATTGCTGCATGGGTATCCCTGGAGTTCCGGCAAGGCACAAATGACAGATACCAATTGGCACCTTTGCTTTGCCACTCTTTGTCACCAAGCCCCCCTTCGTCAGCCGGTGGAACGACCGGGTCAAATGCCCCAGCCTTGCCAATATTGGCCAATCGCCTTTCACTTGCACAATTGCAAGTCTGATCACCTTGGGCTGGCCACCCAGGCAAACTGAAATACCACATTCCAAAGAATGGTTGCAATCATGAACAACCTGCTCCACCAATGCATCCAGCACCTTGCCGTCGTGTTTGTAAGCTCGCTTTGCAAGAACACTCAGGAGAAAACGTGTTTTGTAACAGGAGCCAATAAAATTGTTCCCCATTGAGTCCGAACTAGCATAACCTTCAGCAGCACGTATTCCTGACCCAATGGCTGGTTGAATGGAAATAACCATGAGGCTTTGTTTCTTCAGAGTTTGTCCTTCGTCTGCATAAAGCATACAAGGTATTGTGAATCTTCGCTGCTGAGCATCCAGCAGCTTAAACACTGCATGGCTTGGCTGCACATGGTAATATCGGTGCCAGAACTCTTGCACAACATCGAAAGAATTTCCACCTGTCAACAGACCCAATTTGTTTTCCTGAACGAAAACTCGCAAGAAATCGCTTGGTCGCAGCCATGGATGCTGCGGGAAGCCTTGCAAATCCACATAGGAGAAAGGAATCGGGGCTGCAAGCCCCACATCTTGGTAAGCTTTGCTGGTTTGGTTTTCGTGCCGGGTCCTCGAGGATTTGTGCA